ATTCCTGAGTCCCACAGTGAAAGATCTACTCTCGCCAATGTCAGGGCATGAGGTTGGGCCTCCCTTAACGATCTTAATGGGCTCAATTGGGAAAAGCAGCCCCCTCCCCAACTGATGGACAAAAACAATGGCTTTAAATGTGAAAACCTGCATTTTGTGTTATGACTGTAAGTGCAATGAGAGCAGATCCAACCTTACGTGGACACTTTCTCCCAATGAGTTCAGACTTAGGGGTGCATCAGATACTGCTCACGGGTTGTCTGCCCTCTGCAACAACTCTGAGCCATAGCCACTGATGCAAATTTTGCAGCGGTTTCAGAGACCATTCAATTAGAAACTTTAAAGAGAGAACGTCAACCCTTTCTTTGCAGAATGCAGCCGCTAACAGTGACTATGTTACTTAACATGCAATGCTCCAACAGCAGAATACTGGAGACCCAAGTAAGTGCAAGATATCAGAATGCTAGGGCAACATGTTCCTGCTCATCATTAACTTCTGCGCAGGGCTTGTTCATTCCAAATAAATTGATGGGGGGGGGGGGAGACAGTAGTTTATAAAATTATGTACCGCTTTGATAACTTTTCCTCCCTTTCTGGAGTAAGCCAATGGCTGGAATGTATTTCTGAATAACTGCAGCCATGTGACCTTTTGGGCATTACTGCATCCTGTCATAGTGAGTTCCACAAGTTAATTATGAATTGCTTGAATATATACTTTCTTTTGCAAGTTCTGAATTTACTGCCTACCAATTTCATTGGCTTACTCCAGAAAGGGAGGAAAAGTTATCAAAGTGGTACATAATTTGATAACACAGCAAAATGGGAATGCTCTGGCCTTCATGCCTACTTTTACTGATCTCCTGGAAGCATCTGGCTTGCCCTGAAAGAAACAGAATGCTAAGCTAGATGGGACCGTCCGCTTGACCCAGTAGGTACCTTATGAAGTTCTTGCCTAAAGTGGCACAGCACCAGCAAAAAGGAGCTGCTCTTTGCAAGTTAAAGGTGCAAAAACCGATGAATTGTGACTAGTGATAACACACAATTAGTATGACTAGAGATCATACATACTAGTGAGTAGTAACATCCACAGAAGAGATCTATCCAAAAAAAGATTCCAGGACCACTTCCTGTCAAGAGTTCCAAATGACCCCAAAACAGCCTGCTTTCTACTGAAAACCGGCCCCCTTCTCCACGAAGCGGGGAGAGCGCACGCACAGCCGCCAAGAGGGGCCGGTGTCGCAGGAGACTCCGTCGGGGCGGCCCTGCGCACCCCAACCCCGCCCCAAGGAGCGCAACTGTCTTTAACGCGCCCGGCTCTGCCCAGACCAGCCTCCAGCCGTGAACAGCGCGAAAGTCAGGGAAGCGCCGGCCTCACCCCCGCCGTGCCGAAGCCGCTGCTGGGTCGCTTCTCTCGCGTGGAAATCTGGAGTGAAAACCGGACCCGGACCCGGCACCTCCCCACCCCCGGGGGGTGGGTGGGGGTTAGAAGGCCACTTCTGCAGGGCCTTGACACGCCGCGGGAGGGAGGGGACCCCCCCTGCGGGCAGTCCGGCCCCCTTCCCCGCGCGCAGGGCGACGGACTCACCCGGGGGCCCGCCGCCGCCTCCGCCGCTGTTGACGATGTAGTGGGAGACGCGCGAGCTCTCGGAGACGGAGAGGACGAAGTCGCCGGGGATGGTGCCCGAGTCCCGCACCAAGAACGTGCCGTGGCGCTGTCCCTGCAGGAGCGCCACCGCCTCGGCGCGGCTCAGCCGCCCCCAGTACCAGCTGCCCTGGTCCTCGGCGTCAAACTGCCCGGCCATGGGTGGACCGAGGGAGGGAGGCCGCCGGCCCGGCACCGCTTCCTCCCTCGCCCTCCAGCCCCTCAAGATGGCGGCCGCCGCGCCTCGCCGCCCGGAAGTGACGGC